AAAAAGGCACAGATATACCACGTCGGGAGGAGTTACGCACCCGGACGCCGGAGGAGCATCAGATCCAGAGAGGTCACCAGAAGGGTTCCCAGGAAGTTGGCTCCCAGCAGCTTGGTTCTCCGCAGCTTGGGTGTTCTGGGGCGTCTTCGATTTCATGTGGAACTTGGTCTTGAATTTGTCCTTGATTTTTTTCGTGACGTGCTTCAAGTGCGTATGCTCGCGTGCTTCCAAGTCTCGACGACTGAGCTCCGATCTGCTGGAGGTTTAGCAAAAAGGCATACTACGTCGGAAGGAGAAGGAGGTACGCACTCTGGGTCAAAAGGACCTTCGTAAGAGAGTCTCTTCCCTTGGATCTTCTCCATCTTCTCCGCCCACTCTCCGTAGTCGCGGGCATCCAAAGCGCCATTCACGTCTCGACGTTCGAGCGCCTGTCTGCTGTATAATTAGCAAAAGAAAAAAAAGTTTTGACATATATAACATAGGAAGGAAATACTCACTCCGGTGGGTTAGCTGGCGTTGGGTTAGCTGGCGTTGGGTTGGCTGACGTTTGGTCGTTACCAGGGTTGTTCTTCGGTGGAATACCCATCTTCGCTTTTAGCTTGTTACCTTGATTCCGCCACCAGCCGCGTGCATCCAAATCCACATGCACGGCTCGACGTTTATACCCCTCTCTGCTGTATAATTAGCAAATACAGCACAGATATACAACGTAGGAAGAAAATACGCACTCCTCTGATTCGGTGCCACCCTCAGTAGTGCCAACGTGATTTGCGGTGAATTTGTGCGCACTCTGGGCGTAAAGGTTCACTGCTGCAGAGCCATGACGGGCAGCTTCCATCATATTTTGTTTAAAACTCCCCGGCGGAGGTGCATCTTCCGGGTGAGGTGGGTGGCCGCTCGCAGGTTCCGGGGTAACTGGGGGGTGGACGTGCGCAGGTTCCTGGGAAACTGACTGATGGTGACCTTGCTGGTAATCTTCATGGTGATCTGGCTGGTGGTTGTTTTCACGGTGATCTGGCTGGTGGTTTTCTTCCTGCTGAACTGGCTGGTGGCTTCCTTGATTAGCTCCAGTTTGAGGCTTGCGTTTACGACCACGTCCACCCCGGCGTCGCCGTTGGAGTCCACCGGTTTGACTCTGGGCTTCTGGTGGAACCGAAGCGACACCTGTGTGGGGTTGACGTGCATCAAGGGATCTGGTATATGTTAGCAAAATCGCATCAATTCAAGAAGGCCATACGTACTTGGACAGTGGAGAGCTGCCCCCACTAACAACTGGAGCGGAGTAGGCTTGGAGGGATACCGCGAGAAGAACAAAGGCGAGCATGGATGGTATGAAGTACCTCATGATACACTTGTGCTGAAGGAAATTGAACAGAGTTTTGTGTGTTCGGGAAGACCAGCTTCAAGAACTTGGGGAAAATGTAGATGAGAGCCAAGCTCGTTGTTGGAGAAGGAAGGATCGTCAATCCCCTTTATATGAGAGCACACTGCTTCTTAGAGAGTCTTCAATCCGCCAAAACACATAGGAGTGATCAAAACACATAAAAGATAGAAGATAGGAGTGATCTTGGACTCCACAGCCTACAGGAGCTCACAGGAGACAAGCTGAGCCGAGAGAGCACTACTTAGTGGATGAATGGGAGCTTGATTTCCGTGTACATTCAATGAACCAAATGTACTAGGAAATCAACTCACGCAAGGCTTTTTGTGCGAGCTTCCACATCTCTTTCTGCCCTGGGGCCGGACCACTGATTGGATAGAGCCCCTTCGGAATAATGATGGGCTGTGGTACAACAAACCTTCGTGATGCAGAGGGGAAAACCCTTCCAGGACAATCCCGCCTATACTGTATCCTCTTGTCAGAAAGTGCATACTTGATGATTGATCTGGAAGATACGAAACAAACGAGTAATCAATGGGGAAGACCCACCGTCAAAGCGGGAAATTGAGAATCGGTGGCAGTGGACTGATGGGCTGCCGAAAATGGTACAATACCTGAAGCGCCCAGTGATGGCAACGAGCAGTTCACGCCGGAACTCTGACTCTGCCCGGATTCAGTGCCTTTACCATGACTTTGATGTGACTTCACTGGCAGGATTTGATGGTACAAATCTGAGTGAACAGTACTACCTTGGCGTATGTATCATACGGAATTCAGTTTCAAAGCTCCGGAGTCCGTAAAATAGACCTACCGGCTGTGCTTTTTTTTGCAGTGTAGGTCTGCCGCGGCCCCTGTCTGCCCTTGGACGTGTTGTTCAAAGCTGTCATTGTCGCCGGGGGATCAGCGCGCGCACAGGGAACCTACAATGAGTCCTGGAACATGAAGTTTGAGGGTGGGCAAATAGATCATAAATTCATATACTTACCGTGCATAACTTACTCCCACTCCCCTGGTCATGATGCCCTCCTGAATGAAAGTACTTTTTCGGTGTCAAGCTTGACTCAGCACTCTGGAATACCGTCAACTTCCCGGTAATATCGGTTGTGGAATTCTCATTTGGGATTCGAGGATAGTAAGGTATCAAAACGGCAGCTTTCTATTTCCTGTTACTTATATTATACAACCAAGGTTGAGCCAAAACCTTACTTTTCTGCGTGCACTGTCAGTCTACGATCGTCTCTGAAATAATCGTAACTTTCCGAGCCACTTTCTTCCCTTCACAGTGTCCACACCAACCCTCTCATTCTCAATATAAACCCTCACATATCTGAGCACATCGCGTCTAACAGTCAAAAAACCCTTCACTGATGCACGAAGCTGTCGTGGGAGCACCTGTAAAAGCACCGATGGATTGTCCCAAGTAATGTCGATTGGTTTGAAAGTGAGTTTTTCAAGATTGGGGAGTGAGGTAGGTATCAGGTGGAGGAGGAGATGCTGTTGAAGGGAAGTCAGCATCAACTCAGCATACTATATGTACTAGGGAGGTTTGCATCGACGAGTAGGTAGTCCCAATGGAGAATATACATAGGGAAGACATGACATACCGCAGGGTTGATCAGCTTCTCATCCACATCAAGGTCATTATCCACTTCAGAAACATTCGAGGCCTCTGGGTCTTGATCAAGCCCTCTTGAACTCACAACAATCAAGAGAGTCTGTAATCTCCTACATCTCCGGAACACCTCAGCATTTTTCCGGCTAAAACACCATTCGCCCTCATAATCCGGCGTGATTTCCATTTTAACAAGCGTATCTGTGTGCTTTGGAAGTGTATACTTGTAGAACGAGTCCCCAGAGCCTGGTTGCCAATTTCCTCTGAGCGAAAGAGTTTCCAACCCAGAGTAAGAAGTGATATACCGCAACAGCGAGTCCGTAGTCCGAAACGACACAACCAGGCTGCGCAGATGGATCTGCTCGAGAGAAAGCGTGTCCCATAAGCTATTGAATGCATCGTCTCGGAATGAAAATGGGTGATTGAAGATATGCGGGTTATTGTACTCGATGAGTTCTCCGAGCTCAAGCGATTGAAGGTTGGAGTAAATGAGACGTGGGACCTGCACTACCCATCCGTTCAATCCTAGATTGCAAATCTGGGGCGCGAGGGGGACATCTAACCAGGTAGGAGCGCCGAGACGGAGCAATTGAAGCGTCTCGAGATGAGGGGCAGATGAAATGATGGGGAGGAGGTTTTGAGGGACGAATCTCCCTTCAATGGATAATACCTGGAGTGCATGAAGAGGTGGCAGGGGGAATGGGGTAGCGCGAGGTGAGGAATTATGGAATGTAAATTCTTTGAGGTTGCGAGGGCTACCTGGTGTGGATATTGACGCCAGAATAACAGTAAAGGCCCATTCAAGATCTCTTCCCTGGTGCCAGCGCCATCTAAAGAGTCGCATGTGCAAAATAAGTTCCGCAAAGAGAGAAAGAAGTATATTGGTAATATACTCACCGAAGCGTATCTAAATTATGCAAAGATATCAACGCAGGCCCGAGGAGCAACCGTATCTTTTTCTCCGCTGAAGATACAGATCTAGACCGTGACCTTTTTCCAGGTTCAAACTTAGAGCTGGTGTATGAAGGACAAAGAGAATCAATATATAGTGTTCGAATGACCTTGGACACAGATCGACCGTGTGGGATCTGCCCGACGCGCGTGTCTTTCTCGAGCGCCTTCAACAAGCCGATCCCGACCTTCAAGTTACCCGAATGGATATTGAGTGTTACTTCCGCAAGGACGTGCGGCTGAAAGACTTTTCCAAACAAGGTACACGTCCGACGAAGCCTCTTCCTGTCTTCAAGTCTAGCTGTCTGTATCGGGAGTGGTTGAGTCCGGAACTTGAGCTGGAGAGTTCCCTATGATAGAGCATTCACCTCGTTACCGATGTTGTGCATGACCTCAAGCGGAAGGGACATCATCATGGTCGGCGAAAGCTGTTACAGCCAGGCATTGTTGCCGGATCAGCGCACGCGTCTAAAACGAGCGCTGGAACGTCTAAGTACGCTGGTCTACGCTGTTACTGGCAGATCATGAGCCATAATTACACCAAATGATACGTAGATGTGCAAGGATAATGTGGTTCAAGACAACTTAAGCTAACTGAACATGTATTCGGCACCGTGGGCTGACCATGAGGCGTTCCCAACCACAAATTGCAATGGTCCACTCGGAGACGCTCGTTCACGCAGCTATCATGGACAGATCATGGATAGTATTGGAATTGTCGGATACCGAACCTATAAAGGCTTCTTCAAGTGAATGCGAACGCTGGGTTCGACTCCCAGCCACTGGCAAGGTGTAAACCGACGTTAGTGTCCAATCAGCTGTCTTTGTCACCCCGTTGTGTATTATGCACAATCTAGGATAGGTTTGCTGCCATGCTAGCATGGTACTAGCTTTCTAATTAGTAAAAATTAGTTTTGTGTAAGTACTAGTATGGGTAAAAGGAGAAACAGGAGGCCTTGGATTCATGGCCAGGCTGAGGAAGTCATAGACCTGGATGTACGACTACATTATTCAAGAGAATGGTCTTCTCATCAACTTTTCATAGCATATAACAACCCCCTGGTAGTATATCGGTTAGTACACGCAGCTATCATGACCAGTTTGAACCTTCTTCTTCAAGTGAATGCGAAATCTGGGTTCGACTCCCAGCCGGGGGTGTGAGATTTGAACATTTGACGACTGATCAGCTGCTGCAGCCAAGTCTGTTCTATATTTTTGTCGCCCCTGAGGTTGTTGATTGTGCGCGAGTCCAGGAGTTTTTTCTGTGCTGGCATGGCACTCGTAGCTTTTAAAGGTTATGGGGAACAGTTTGGATAAAAAGAGAAGTGGGAGACTTTGGACTCATGCCTTTGAGAAAGTCATCAAGGAAGTCACCGAGGAAGTCATAGAATCTTTCAGTCTCCAGGCCCAATGTGGCTACACGAGTGGGATTGTGAGTATAAGCAGATTAAAGTAGGTTAAATTCCCCCGTACCATGTATTAGACAGTATTTTCGTAGCTTGTTCGTAGCATATAAGCAACCCCTGGTAGTGTATCAGTTAGTACGCGCACTTGAATATGATCACGATACGTGGACCGTTTCTTTAAATGAATTCGAAAGCTGGGTTCGACTCCTGGTAGCAGGAATTATATGGAGACCAAGTTCTTTTTTTACCCCCTTCAGCCCTGGCGAGGTTTATTATAAAAACTATGAAAGTACTTTTTAACTTTTTTCGTGTCAAGCTCGAATTGCCACTCTCTGGCATACCAACTTCCCGGTAACATGGGTTATGGAGTTCTCATTTGCACGTAACGGGATCCGACGGAGAGGTATCAAAACCGCAACTTTCTGCTTCCCGCTAGTACTTAAAAATTAATAACTTACTTATGTTATTGATAATATAGCCAAAGCCTCACTTCCCTGCGCGCACAACCAGCCTACGATCGTCTCCGAAATAACTGCAACTTCCCAGGCCACTTTCGTTTCTTCACAGCGTCCACGCCAACCCTCTCATTCTCCACATAAACCCTCACCCACCTGAGCACAAGCTCGCGTCCGAGTCTACTCATCTCAGAGCCATCGCCCGCAGTCAAAAAGCTCTTCACCGATGCACGGAGCCGTCGTCGTATCACTAGAGAATGCTTCGATGTGTTTTCCCAAGTAACATCGATTGGTTTGAACGTGAGTTTTTCGATATTGGGGAGTGAGGTTGATATCAGGTGGAGGAGAAGATGCTGTCGAAAAGAAGTCAGTATATTATACGTACTAGGAAGTTTTCATTGCCAAGTGGACCCAGTCCCACTGGAGAATATACATAGGAAAAGCACATACCACTGGGTTTATTAGTATCTCGATCGCGTCGAGATCATTATCCATTTCAGAAATATTCGAAGCCTCTGGGTCTTGATCGAGCCCTCTCGAACTCACCACAATCAAGAGCGTCTGCAATCTCCTACATCTCCGGAACACCTCAGCATTTTTCTCTCTAAAACACCATTCGCCCTCATAATCCGGCATGATTTCCAACTTAACAAGCGTATCCGCGTGCTTTGGAAGTGCATATTTGTAGAACGAGTCCCCAGTCCCCGGTTGCCAATTCCCTCTGAGCGAAAGAGTTTCCAACCCCGAGTAAGAGGTGATATACCGCAACAACGAGTCCGTAGTCCGAAACGACACAACCAGGCTGCGCAGATGGATCTGCTCGAGAGAAAGGGTGTCCCATAAGCTATTGAATGCATCTTCTCGGAATGAGAATGGGTTATCGACGATATGCGGGTTGTTGTACTCGATGAGTTCTCCGAGCTCGAGCGATTGGAGGTTCGAGTGGATGAGACGTGGGACCTGCACTGCCCATCCGTTCAGTCCTATATTGCAAATCTGGGGTGTGAGGGGGACATCTAACCAGGTAGGAGCACCGAGACGGAGCAATTGAAGCGTCTCGAGATGAGGGGCAGATGAAATGATGGGGAGGAGGTTTTTGGGGACGAATTTTCCTTCGATGGATAATGTCTGGAGTGTGTGTAGAGGTGGTAGGGGGAATGGGGTAGCGCGATGTGATGAATTATGGAATGTAAATTCTTTGAGGTTGCGAGGACTACCTGGTGTAGATATTGACGCCAGAATAACAGTAAAAGCCCATTCAAGATCCCTTCCCTGGTGCCAGCGCCATCTAAAGAGTCGCATGTGCAAAATAAGTTCCGCAAAGAGAGAAGTATACTCGGTAATATACTCACCGAAGCGTATCTAAATTATGCAACGATTTCAACGCAGGCCCAAGAAGCAACCGTATCTTTTTCTCCGCTGAAGATACAGATCTAGACCGTGACCCGTTTCCGCGTTCAAACTCAGAGCTGGTGTATGAAGGACAAAGAGAATCAATATATAGCGTTCGAATGACTTTGGACACAGATCGACCATGTGGGATCTGCCCGACGCGCGTGTCTTTCTCGAGCGCCTTCAACAAGCTCATCCCAGCCTTCAAGTTACCCGAATGGATATTGAGTGTTACTTCCGCAAGGACGTGCGGCTGAAAGACTTTTCCAAACAAGGTACACGTCCGACGAAGCCTCTTCCTGTCTTCAAGTCTAGCTGTCTGTATCGGGAGTGGTTGAGTCCGGAGCTTGAGCTGGAGAGTTCCCTATGATAGAGCATTCACCTCGTTACCGATGTTGTGCATGACCTCAAGCGGAAGGGACATCATCATGGTCGTTGTTCAAAACTGTTACGGGACGTCGTCGCCGGATCAGCGCGCGCGCGCGCGGGAAAACCTAAAATGAGCGCCGGAACGGCGTTGCCTGAAAATGAAGTTTGAGGCTTCTTGAGTCGGGGATCGGTACCGGTTACTCTACGCTGGGTTGATCACTCAATAAAAAGAGTCCAGGTTTAACCTAAGAAGATGAATTCGTTCAACACTTCAGTCAACTACAATTCAGTACGGTACTCAGAAACCCAAAACTAAGCGTAGCTCCGTTCCACATTCCGTCCTCTCTAATCTTCTCACTTCATGAACGAGGCCGCTGTAGCATCCATTCTCGGATTAACGTGTAGTCTCAGAGGAGGGCAGTAAGCCAGAGGCGGGCCACTGAGGGATCAGATGAGGATTGATCGGTGGATCCAGCTTCAGGCATTCGTCGCATCGTCTACAAATCCGCGTGCTTCCAACACATCCGAGTCTCGACCACTGAGCTCCGATCTGCTGTACATTTAGCAAAAAAGGCATACAACGTCGGAAGGAGATACGCACCCCGGGTCAGAAGGACCTTCGTGATATGGATGTGGTCTCTTCCCTTGGATCTCGTCCATCTTGGCTGCCAACTCGTCGTATACGTCGCGGGCATCCAAAGCGTCATTCACGTCTCGACGTTCGGGCGGCGGTCTGACGTATAACTAGCAAAAAAAGCATTGGCATATAACGTAGGAAGCAAATGCACGAGATATACCTTATCGTTACCAGGGCTTCCCCTCGGTTCCATCGCATTTCTGTAGTTGTCACCTCCCTTGTGCAACCCCCTGCGAATAATTGGAGCGGAGGAGGCTTGGAGGGAAACCGCGAGAAGAACAAAGGCGAGCGTGGATGGTGTGAAGTACCTCATGATGAACTTGTGCTGATGGAAATCGAAAAGAGTTTCGTACGTTCGGAAAAACCAGCTTCAAGAACTTGGGGGAAAGAGTGTAGATGAGAGACCAGCTCGTTGATGGGGAAGAACCTGGAAGGACCGTCGATCCCATTTATATAAGAGTATATTGTTTCTTGGATTTGCAATCAGCTAAAACACGTAGGAGTGATCTTGATATATGCCACAGGACTCCACAGGAGCCGAGCCTAAAGCTGCCCTGGTCCTGCCTAAAGCTGCCTAGAGCCTCCAAGAGCAGCCTAGAGCTGAGCCGGAAGCTGAGCCGAGAGAGCGCTAAGGGGAAGGCCCGGGGCCGGGGGATGTGGATTGAATGGGAGCTTGGGAACTTGCAAAATTCAAGTTTCAAAGCTCCGTAAAATAGAGGCCCAGGGTATAGCCTGGTATAGCTGTGCTTTTTGCAGGGTGGGTAGGACCAGGTCTGACCTGCTCTGCCCCGCGCGTCTTTTTCGATCGCCTTCAACGAGCTGACCCCAGCCTTCAGATTCGGATTACTCAAATGGATATTGAGCGTAACTTCCGCAAGAGCGTGCGCCTGAAAGGCTTTGCCAAAGCACAGGTCCGACAGAGACTCTTCCTGTCTTCAAGCCTAGTTGTCTGTATCGGGCGAGTCCGAGCCACGGAGCTTCAGCTGGAGAGAGCATTCACCCAGAATTCACCCCGTTACCGACCTTGTGCATGAGCTCCAGCGGAAGGGACATCATGGTCGTTGTTCAAAGTTGTTACACGCGCGCGGGAAACCTAAAATGAGCGCTGGAACGTCCTTAGTTGACTGAAGCTTGAGAATGAGCAGTCTTGGAGGCTTGGAATTCGGGTTTTCGTGGAGCTTCAGAGACATATGTATCATGTTTGAGATGATTTCGAAGCCAGAGTTGTCCTACAAGCGCAAGCACTGAGATCATCGGATTAGTAGGAAGCGTATGCGCAACCAGGCTCCTAATTCTTTGAGTTGCTGTATACTTGCCAGTTGAAACGGTACCCTATTAAGGCAAATCAACGCTGTGACTGGCAGGCCTTTTAACAAATTATACCAAATGATATGTAGACATGCAAGTGTTGTGGTGGAAGGCTTCTTGACTGAACGCATGTCGAGCACCACAACACAGTGGAGCGCTGGCGCACACTCCAGTACTTATCGCTACCGGTTACTATATGCTGGGTCGATCGCTCAATAGAAAGAGTCCAGGTTTAACCTAAGTAGATGAATTCCTTCAACACTCAGTCAACTACAATTTGGTACGGTACTCTCACACCCAAAACGAAGCGTAGCTCCGTTCCAGATTCCATCCCTAGTCCTCTCACTTCATGAACGAGGCCGCTGTAGCATCCATTCTCGGATTAATATGTAATCTCAGAGGAGGGCATTAAGCTAGAGGCGGGCACTGAGTACTGAGGGATCGATCGGTGGATCCAGCTTCAGGCATTCATCGCGTCGTCTACAAATCCGCGCGCCTCTAACGCATCCGAGTCTCGACCACTGAGCTCCGATCTGCTGTATATTTAGCAAAAAGACATACAACGTCGGAAGGAGATACGCACCCCGGGT